TCTTAGGTGCGATATATTTTTTTGTTCTATCTACATGGCCGCCACTCTGTATACATATTATGGATTGTTTGATTTTAATACGTATAGGTTTAGGATTAGGCACGGGAGCTGAGCGTTAAGAGAGAGACACGTAAAAGATTTATTGCATCTAACGATTTTTCGACCGCCGCCATGTGCATCATTGTCGTCGATCCCCATGTATTATAGCCAGTTATAATGTGTATACACGCGCCGCGATGGATTTTGCACGGATCTGACTGCGCAGGAGGGGTGACAGCTGATCTTTTATTGCCTCAGCTTTTCTGTCGAACGTCGCGAGGTGGGGCGGCCGGGTGAGGGCGGCGGTGCACGTAGCGCGTTTATTTATGTGATATTATATGGATGTAATTTTTTTTTGTTCCAAAAGACATAAATCAGTCAGAGGATATTTTCGACGGCGACTGCCGATCGACGTACGGGCACAAAACTGCACAAACGGCGGCAGTCCGTCAACCCCCGACGGCCATTAACATTATTAATTACATAAATAACGTTCACCCCATGCAACTACACTCGCACGCACAACAATCTTTTGATGTCAACCCGACAGAAAGCACATAAATTACGGAATTTTTGTTCGTCCCTCTCCCCCTGCAGTGCATTCGTCAGTCAATATGCACTGGGTCTGCACATACATCGCCGCCACCGGTAAATGTTGTCGCACACTACCATTTCAAACGGTGCCATTATTTTTTGTCATACGTTAAACATTTTTTTTTTTTTTAATCAAAGTGCCTATTCTTACACTTACTTATAATGGCACTAATGAATGCCGGCTAGATTTAAGTACACGGCGGAGATCGTAAACATGGTCGCGCACAGTGTACTAGTGGCTCTCCTACACTATAAGTTATCGGAAAAGGAAAGTACCGTATAAATTTGAGAATATTGATTTATGCGTTATGAGTTCCCGCATACGCATTTCATCTGTGTCGTGTTGTTATTGGCTCCAAACTCGTTGACGGCTCTTATTCAGCTCTTGCGGGAAGAGGAACTGAATCGGTATGCCCAAGAATTTCGTCTGTGTTCTCTGTTTCTCTATTATCAATTTATTACATTAACTGCTGCACGCGAACAGATCCGAAAATGTCATGCGGGCAGATAGCCCATAAATAAAACGTCGTTTACTAATTCCGTCCTCGTACGATAACACCGACGATAGTGACGATTTTTGGCTTGTCAATGAGTTTTAGGTGGTAATAAATACATATTTTGTGTGCAGTCCACTTCGATGGCCGTCACGTACGACTTGTGCAAAACCCGTTGCACGAATACATTTGTACGTACGGCCGGCGACAGTTATTACTTCTGTGTAATCGTTTAATTGACTAATTTGTTGGGTGAAAACCGAGTGATGTGTAATGGTGTGCGCCATTTCGGCGTGTTCGCAGGCGGTCAGACGAATTCGTTTGGCTATGAAATGACCACAGCACCACCGCCTATAGAGTTATTTTTGTATCGCTTGGCTCTTACGGCGTATTAGTTTATATGTGCAAAATGTATTCTCTGCATGTTTGTTGTCTATTCAAAGCACTGCGAGCACTGGTGCCGGGGATTGGACGGTGACTGCCGTCCATTGGGCGTGGCCGTGGACGACGGATGTGTTGTTACCTCTACACTTGTCTCGGCCGATGTCGTCGTGTACCGGTAATGAGGTACGCATAACTCGGTCCAGCGGTTAATACGACTTATTGTCTCTTTTTTGGATTTAATCGATTCTCCTCCCTCGACTCGCTCTCATCATGACTTCTCGCTGTTATCGCTGATAGGCCAATGTTTTTTACTCGACCGCTGATAAACCGGTTTTGACGTTGGAGCTTAAGTAAAGTTTCCTGTACGCGGTAGCGCTTAGTGTTTGTTTAGTTATTTTTGCGTTGATCATTTTGACGACTCTGTGAGAGAGATACACTTGAGCCTATGGAGCACAACAGGCCGAGGTGAAAATCTAAAACGCTGTAGGTGAGATTTTTGACGGGGGCAGCTCTTTTGTTGTATCAAAAGAAACACGATGTCGACCGGTCGGAAGCGAGCGAAAAGGCGAGAGATAAATTATGAGTAGATTTTTTTAATAATACGCGTTATATTATTATCACCGTCGTCGGACGACCTCTGATTGACAAAGAACCGGCCGAATTCCACCGGTGTGCCAGTCAATAGCCGCCAAAACGATAATAAAATATCCTTCTCCTACTCTTTTGTCAACCAGTTGTTGGCACGTCCTCCGCCCCCGCCTCCATAAATCATCGACACCTCTCGATAAATCCGACAACACCCGTCGGCGGACAATGGCTGCCTCATCTCGTGGAATTGCACAATATGTTCGCCAGTTGATCCGATCGCCCATCATCATTTATTATATTCTTCTATAGCGCTGGCATAAAATATGGCGAGTTGAGATCGTCCTGGTCGTTTTTTTTTTTTTTTTTTAATCGATCGCCGNGTCGTTTTTTTTTTTTTTTATTAATCGATCGCCGCCGTCAGCTAACATATATCGTGTGCAAATGGTCGTCTCAATATCGCCAATACGTTGTACGCCGAAGACGACGTTTGATTAATAATTTCGGCAGTTCAAGTCGTGTGTTCATTAATAGTAGTTATTGATTTGTTGATGTCGTCGGCGTTCGAAATTAATAATCGAAAATACCGATGTTGTGGTGTCGTGCGCTTGCTGACAATACACGTGTGTTCTATGCAAATCCGACATTTGCATACAAACGTTTTGTCGTGTGCGCCAATAGTTTCGTCATGTGTTGGTGTAAGAGATATCTGAATTACTTTTTAACGGATGACGATTTAAATTTGTGTAAAAAGTCGACGCACAATTGCCAAGCAATCGTGTTGCTGTGTAGTGAACGTTGTGGAATAGGGTCAAGTCTTTTTGTGGTCGTGCGGCGTGTTTGTTTTTTTACACAGCCCTCAAATGGCGTGATCATTACCCGAATTAATTTGCCGCCGTTGACGGATTGTCGTCGAGGCAAAGGGGTGACGGCCGTGCGACAAACGACTGTTAAACACAAGCTACTAACCCCTTCTACATGTGTGCGAGAGGGACACACTACGCGGGCAACGCTGCCGGCGGCAACTTAATGTTTAATGACATCACGTTAATTGGTGCGGTTACCACCACCACCGAGCGTTGTCAATTAATTTACGAGTCTGTTTGCTTTGCGTTGCCTAATTTAAGTTGCCGAGACGACATTATATCATTTTATAATACCGCTCGGTACATTGTGCACGGAACGGAAATGTCGTTTTAAAAGTTTGCTTTATTTTTATCGAAAACCGTTTTTTATTTATTATTTCTATGGAGTTTTGCTAAATCGATTTTGAATTTACTCTGTTACTCGTATCGTTTTCTCGATCATTTGCCGACTTCATTTTACTCTAGAAAACATGAACGCCTAGTTAACAGTGGCGCTGAAAATAATAATAATAATAATAATAATAGTCACACGAGGACGGGTAAATAAAAAACCGTCACGACCGTGTTTATGGTCATTTCACTGGTATATTCTTAACTACGCCAGAATACAATAGACGATAAATCAGACCAATTAAACACATAGTTTCGTTATTTTTCTCAGCATACCTATAGTTCTTATGGCGTGTAGCGATAGTTTGTGTTAGTGGAGGTGACGAGGAGGCCGAGGTAAAAAGTAACCGAGATAACTGCAACGCCGCCGCGTGCCTTATTGGATGACTCGGGTGGGTCCGTTGTTATTCTACTTCACCGCCCGCCAACTTTTTTTTACATAACTACACACACACACAACTATCGGCGGTAACGAAATTTTCACAATGATCACGACGGCATTCCGCCGATCAAACGCTGCACAAAGACCGGGTGGTGGAACGGTTTTAAGTTTTCATAAATAACCCATTCGCAGTCGCTTTATCGGCCGACCAATCTGCGAGGCGTTAAGACAATGGGCTTTGGGTCGTGACGACTTTGGACAGGTTTGAGTGTTCCGCACCTCGTCTCTGCCGTGTACGTTTTTATTGTTTTTATATCGCGCGCCCTTTATCTCCGCCGTTCGATCTTGAGGGTTGTCGGCCCGGAAAATTCGCGACCCCCATTGTCCTCGCGCGGGGCACTCCAACTCCTGGCTAATACGAAATACACAAATATAATAATGAATTCTGCGTGGCCTGTCTTACTGTGCACATTTTGCAAAAGTTTTGTTCTCTTTTCCTTTTTACGTCGTCCACGTTTTTCGAAATAAAATGCGTTTATCAAAAAGACGAACGTCTGCCGAGATAATAATAAACTCTGTCGTCGTTTTTTATTCGTCCCCGTTCTTCTATTTTCATCGTCTTTTGTTTCGCTTAAGACAATAGAGACGTTTGCTCCGGTTATTTCTGCTTGTAGCAGAAACACGACTAGTGTTAGTGTAATGCGACCAGTGGTAATAGTGCAAATGCAGCAACCATATAGTGTACACAATGAGAGTATTATGTGTAGTATTTTCTTCGAGTATTTTTTCTCTCTCGTGTACACGCGCGTGTAAAATGTGTTAAGGAACTTTTCCTCTATCTCTTCACGTCGGACCGCCGACACTCGATTCCAGTTAAAATCATTGACAGCCAGCCCGTGTACAGAGCCGGCAAATAAGTACAAACGACCCGTCATCGAGTTCGCTGTTTGACGACGCATAGTTAATCTAAACGTCGCGACTTGACGGCACAGCCCATTATTTCAAATTAGACGGATCTTAACGGCTATAAACGTGTGCACGTGTTGTGTAGCCGACGACGTTGCGTGTAATGTTTGCCTGTTGGATCGCAATTTGCGTGTGTCTCATGAAAATCGTAGTTGATGCAAACATTTTTTTTTTTTTAAATTAGTTTAGCTTTTGATTTTGTGTTTTGTTACTGTGAATAGTCGTGTGTCTGCGCGCGTTATGATCTCAAAGAATACGCGAGTTGATCGATTATAATGTTGTGGTTTTTTTTTCCGATAGGGGAAGGTGGTGAGGGAGAAGAACCGCCAGCGGGATACCAAGAAGACGACGGCGGTTGCCCAGAAGACGACGAGGACGAAGAAGAAGAAGAGGAAGAAGGCGTATCCGGTGGCTCTTCGGGTTCACCGCCAAGATCTCCCGTTCCTTCAAACACGGACGTCGAACAGGATGCTGCCAACTTACCTTTAAGGTCAGTATTTAATCAGTACATATTGTGTCCTCTAAATGCGCTAAGTTTTTTTGAGATTTATTATTTATCCACGTAATGATACAAATAATGAGAACAACATTTTTAATAAAATAACAATCAGTCGCTCCGTGCCCCACAACACTTCTGTGATATTTTTTAAACAAAGAAATCAACACTGATACCAAAAAAGTCAATGTCCACGGCTGTTAGAGCTTTAAGATCAATAAAAATATGCTTTGGCACGTAAGACTCTCGAGAGAGCTTATTTCGCGTTATTTGTTTTGTGCGGCTCTGAATTGGCGTGTGTTTTCCATGTTGTAAACGTGCGACAACAACATCCACAAACCGAACTCCCTCTTCGCAAAGGTTTTATCGAAATGGACTTTCGGCCCTCCACATGAGCATAAATATACACGTGACATGTCATTAAAAAAAGTGCGTTCCTCCCTGAATGACGACGCTGCCAGTTCTGTAATGTAGTGTCACAGCCGCCGTAGTGTAATGTTCTCCTTATCCTTTGTCTACGTAACAGTATGAAGGGGGAGGTCGGTGGTTTAGTTGGTTTTGCTGTTTTCCTACGGTCGTTCATTTGAATTTTCATTTAGTCTCTCTCTTTCCCTCGGCTCTTACCCAGCGCTCAAGAGTTTTGGACGACATGCCAACGGCGGACGGGTGGAACTTCGACTGATTTACGATAATGGCTCGGGTGCCGCCTTTCTTCTACGGAGGATAATTTCTTTTTTTCGCCTACGCCGAGCCAAAGGAAGTTACAGCGATGAGGACGGGTCGGTTAAGGGGAGAGGGACGGAAAAAAAAACTGTTATGACCTCCCCGCTGGGAACGTCAACTTTGTACTTCGGATTCGATAATTTTTAAAATATATCGCCCGTCGCTCTCTATTCTCTTGGCCCGCCGCGTGTATAATATACGTATACGAACGCACGTTGCCTCACTGCCACGATAACATCGCCGTCATTTCCCTTACCCTCTCCATCTCGGCAGTGGCAAAAAGATACACCTTGTCAACTTGCATTCGTGACGGCATTATATTACAATTATTCCGGTTGCGCCGCCGACGGAAACGACACTGCGAACTCCATAAATTGGTTTTAATGCGGCGGCACTCGACTGAGTTTGTTTTTGCGCTTCGAGGAAAAGTCTTGCCAATATGAAATATTGTTCATTAATCTGTCTTGTTAGCCGGAAATTATTGCCGTCGGAGGATCGAGTTCCGGAGACTGTGCCGAGTTTTTCCGTACTCTGCGCCCGAAAAAACGTCAGGACGCCGCCGTCGCCCTTATATCAAATTCTGAATAATATAATATCTTCTTCTAAATGTGTGTGTGTGTGTGTGTGTGTGTGTGTGTACTGTGTAATATGCGTTATTTTCTACAGTCCATCACCGCCACAATCCAGTCGGGCACCGTGCCAAATTATGGCCGAAGTTTCGCGATAAAACCGTATTTTTAACTCGTGTGATATCGGTCGGGTGGATGGTAATTATTGTCCATTAATTAAGAATGAAAAAAATAATAGAGTCACAGTGGCGGCTGAGATAGCGCTTATTGAATTTGTGTTGCTGGCAGATATTATTAAGAAAAAAATACTGCGATCAATTAAAAGCACTGTATTTATTTAAAATTATTAATTCTAAACTATAAGTACGAGACGGGTATTTTTAACTGTAACGTCTAATTTAATGCTATCAGTAATATGTATATATATATATATATATATATTTCTATAGCGTTGCGCAGACGGATACAGCTCGTACTGGTGTATAGTTTACTGTATACTACACGTATACTCAATTTAATATTTTTTTAACGCTAAAAATACAAAAAAAAAAAAACCAGTAACGAAGAATAAAAACGTTTTGATCTTAGACACATTTCTTCTCAGTGTCGGCCTTATAAAGGAAAGCTCTAGTGCAAAGTAGAGAAGACCTCACGGTAATTAAAAATATTGTAACTACTATAACCGATAAGAACAGAAAAAAGGAGCTATGTTTGACTAAACAGTCTCAGAAAATTCCTGAAACTTACTTATGGCAAGTTAGTTGATTTATATCAGCAAAAGCCACAAAGAACCAAAGCAACTCGAGTACACCCAAAGAAAAACCTCAATCAATTTTGATAGAGAAATTTTATCAAGGGTTTATGATAATGTTTTATTAATACGAACAAAATAATTATTCTTATAAATAATTATTGTTCAAGACAAGAAAAAAAATTATCATATTGATAAATATATCATAGATTCAATAGTAATGATATATTTATCAAATTGAACGATGAATTTATTATATAGATCGAGGTTTTTCTCTGGGTGTATAAGAATACTATACCTTTGATTCACGTTCCCTACACCTTGATATTGCTACAAACTACAAAAGATTAATTTATTTTCAAAAGTATCTTAAATTTAACATATAAAAACAATTACTACTAAAACAAAGGCTACTAAATAAAAGTATTTGTAATCTCAAACAAAATTAATATAAAACCAATCATACTTAATTAATACACAATTAAAATACATCTTTGAAAATGTATTTAAACATAAAATGCCACCAAATAAGCGCCGGACTTTTATTATTTTTCTTTCTCATATGCTTATAACTTAATTAAAATTATAAACAAAATTTCTTTTACAAATTTCAGTCGTTTGAAAATATTTATATATTAAATAAAAAGATTAATAAATAATCAAAAAATATAAATCGGCAATTCAAGATTTGTATTATGTTGTATATTTTTTATTAAGTCATGTTACAATTTAAAGTGCATTACATATTTACTAAAAATATTAAAATATTTGTAATGTATTTATTATTACACTTAAGTATTTGTCATAAAGTTGTTATCGACCCTTCAAAATTTATGTAAAAAAAACTAAAAATAACTTAAAATTTTAAAGAAAAAAAAATTATTTTTTTTATTTATTTTTCTTATTTGTGACAAATAACAGCAATTTTACTTTTAACCTAATCAAAAACTGTAAAAATTATTTGAAAAAAAAATAACGCAGAATATTTGCTGAATAAGTTAATAATGAATCATAATTTGGTGAATAATGACACTTGTATATATAATTTAAGTATTTTTTTGATCTGATATTTTTTATTATATTTTACTTATTTATTATTATTTTTTTTTTTACAGAGAGACCAGCAGTCCTTCTAAAATGAGCAGAGGATCTCCTAGAAGTGAATCAAGTCTGCCTCCCTTTGAAGTGCCATTGATAGCCACTGTATCTCCTGGTCGTTCTCCGCCTGTATCTACCGATATTTTAGACTTCAGTACTAAGAGACCTGTCAGTCCTGTATCTCCTCCATCAGCTATGAATCTAAGTGGTAGTAATGATGATACGCCAATTGATCTTACTATAAGAAGTAAAAAAATGCGACTAGACCACTCAACTTCATCTTCACCATCTAATAATGATATATACGCACGGATGAGCCGACCATGGGCACAATATACATCACCAGTGATGCGGCCAACATCAAGGACTGATATGGTCACACCACCTAGTGATTCACCAATGCATTTGTGGAATGGAAGTGGAAAGCATACTGGTGGTAAGTTATCTTACGGCTCGTTTCCATCAGCGACTAGTGACGCAACAAAAGCTTTGGAGAAGATGTGTGAGCTAAGTAAGCTTCAGGATGAAACGCCGCGATCAGTGTTGACGCCTAGCTCTGGGCGACACAGTGCGTGGCAATCGCACTGGCTCAATAAAGGTGCAGATCAGACTAAAGATGTGCTTAAATGCGTGTGGTGCAAGATGAGTTTTCCTACATTACAAGCTATGTCTGCACATATGGCAGAAACAAAACATGGAACTGCTGCTGCCCAAAGCTTACAACCTCCGCCACCGCCACCACCTGCACCAGTATCTTCATCTGCGTCGTCTTCCGGACACAAAAACGATCTCAACATGCTTATGAAAGAAACTATGCCATTACCTAGAAAACTTGTTCGTGGACAAGATGTTTGGTTGGGAAAAGGCGCCGAACAAACCCGACAGATACTCAAATGCATGTGGTGTGGTCAGAGCTTCAGATCATTGCAAGAAATGACCACGCATATGCAACAAACTCAGCACTACACTAACATTATTTCTCAAGAGCAAATCATATCGTGGAAATCTGCTGACGAAAATAAGTCATCTACAGGTGGTGGCTCAGCTTCATCTTCTGCTACTAGTTCATCACTTTCTGGCTCGGCCAGCTCGTCAGCTAATCACGTTAGTGCTGTGCTTACGTGTAAAGTTTGCGACCAGGCATTTAATTCTCTCAAAGAGTTAAGTGTACACATGGTGAAAAATTCACATTATAAGGAACATATGATGCGTTCAATTACTGAGGGTAGTAATAGACGACGTCAAACCAGAGAGAAACGTAAAAAATCGTTGCCAGTTCGTAAATTGCTAGAATTAGAGCGAGCTCAACATGAAGTAAAGAACGGCGATGGAGGATATGTGTCACCGGGTGCTAGTTTTAAACCATTGAACGATATAAATCATCGACTTGGTCGTATAATATGTGAGAAATGCGGGGAAAAAGTAGACGTCGCTGGATTTATGGAACATTTACGGGTGTGTGTGACTATGACACCAGATCAAAAGAACCTTTTAAAGACTGCACTGATGTCACAAAATGCTCTGTCTCCAGAATTAGCTAGGAATGAGAAAAGACCAAAGAAAGAAGATAGATCTCATCAAGGGCCTGCTGTGGCTGACCTGTCGGTTAATAAACCGGCTACCTCTAGTGGTAGTACTTCTTCACCATCAGTTTTAAACGCTATCGAGAAACTTATTGAGAAGAGTTTCGACTCGCGATTAAGATATGGCACGGCAGCGTCTGGAACTTCCATTGGCGAAAGTATTTTGAAACGGCTAGGCATCGATGAGAGTGTTGATGCTACCAAACCGATTATGGACATGCAGGCCATGAACCTGTTGAGAAATTATCAGTCGATGAGTCGACATGAGCGAAGTGGTAGTGAGTCAAGTTCTATGTCTCCCGAGTTGGCAGCTATGCGTAGTGATTCCACCACTCCCGATAGGAAGTCATCTTATGATCCGGACTACCAGCGCATGCGCTCAGTAACGCCTAAATCAGTAGCCGATCGGCAGTCGCCATCTGCAAAGTCTATGACAGCTAAAAGTGACACAGCTGATGTGAAAAGTGAAGCAGCTGACGAAGAGTTTGATGTTAAAAAGGAATACGTCGATGAGGACGAACTCAAAAGTCCTGTAGATGTTAGAGTAAGTGTAGAATCAGCCGAAGCTGTATCTAATGAAGAAATAAATGGTAAAAATTTAAGTAGAGGTGCAACTCCTACCAACGTTAAAAGTCCTTCTAGTCCAGTCGGTAGTGATAAATCAGATAGACCGAAAAAATCAAGTAGTTCAACTAGTCTGGGTGCACTATCCTCAATGTTTGAGAGTCTTACTAATGGACCTTCAGCAGTTACAAATGGTGGATCTAGTGAAGGAGGTGGAGGTGGTAAAACAAGCAGTCATCCGTTAGCTGCTTTACAGAAATTGTGTGACAAAACAGAAAATCATCATCAACACCATCATCGACCAAGTAGCCGTTCGTCTTCTAACGCATCTGCTACTAATGGTGGTGGACCGGCGCAATCTATGTCTCCACCGGCCTCTAATGCTGCTGGTACTACTCCTGGAGCAATTCTAGCGTTTAGCTGGGCCTGTAACGACGCCGTCATGACTGCGGATTCTATTATGAAGTGTGCATTTTGTGACACTCCTTTTATCTCAAAGGGGGCTTACAGGCACCACTTGTCCAAAGTACATTTTGTAAAAGAAGGCATTACCCCAGAACCAATCATGTTGAAACAACCACAAACTGTTGGGAATTCTTCATCTGGCGGACAACAGCATCAATCAGGTAATGGATCATCATCATCGGTTTCTTCACCTTCGTCGTCTGCTCAAAAATCACCTAACCATCACAATAACAATAACCATCATAATAACAATAACAACAATATTTCACATGCTTCGACGTCTGGATCAGGAGTGGCGGGATCCAAAAGTCCTGAAAAGACAGCCATCAATAGCTACGATGAAAGTCCCCACTCAAAATTCCTCAAATACACCGAACTGGCCAAACAACTATCGAGTAAATACGTCTAGTCATAGTCTCTCAATTATATTACTAATTAATTACTTCGTTGTCATTAATCTCATTCCCTCCTTTTTTCTAATTTTATCTATTTTATCTTGCTGTCTAAAACTATTGTATATGATAGCATACGTTTTTCAAACTTTTTCTTTCGGTCTCTCGATAACTATTTTCCTGTAAATGTGTATACAACTTTATAAAAAATATTTGATATAAGTCTATTATTTAAATGGATAATTTTGAGGAAATCTATTTGTTTATAGCTATTATAATGAATGTGTAAAAAGATTTTTAGCCGTATTGATGAGACTTTTAATTATAAATAGTATATTTATCTTCTACGATTTAAAAAAGAAACCACTCGAATTCTTTGTTAACTCTAAGTATTATTATATTTACCAAAATTGAAAACGAAAAGTACTCGAAACATGTATACGCGTTAGTAAAGTATAATAAATTAACTAGTTTATTTATTTAAAATTTTAACACGATAATGACATTTTAATAATAATTATAAATTCATAATTATAAAAAAAAAAAAATTATATAAAGTATGATTTTCCATGTTGTAGATAAGCTAGCGATATAACATTGTACAACATTATGTATACCTAAAGATACATGAATATTTATTATAATTTCTACAGACACACATACGATAATTGATTGTATACGATTCTGTTTACTACTATGATTATAGTAATTATTTTCATGAAATTTTTCTGCTCATATAATTTACAAGTTTCCGTACATACATACATTTTATATAAATTATTCCATATATTTTCATGTGTGCTAAAAATCTGACTTAAAAGGCTGTCAATGTCAACTATGTATAACGATTAATGCTTAAGATTTATAAGTAGAGTTAATTAATATCAATCGACAACATTAGGCTAAGGTCATTTTAAACAAATATGTTAATAATTGTAATGCTAATGTGCATTATTTTTATCCCGTTTAAATAATTGTTACAATTTCGCGTAGAGTGTATTCAAGTTCGTATTTTGTTTGACTTGCGGAAAAAAAAATCCATTCCAATTTTTAACTATGTAAACGCAATACAACGTATTGTTATTTGATAATATACAATATTCTTGTTCCTATATTAGTATGTAAAAAATTTAACACATAAGATACGATAATAATATTATACGATTTGATTAATTCTAATCTGCGCTCAATATACATGCGTATACGTGCCTCCCCTAAATTTTTTCTTGTATTTTTAATTTTTAGTTATTAAATAAGCCAGTAAGCAAAATAGTTACCATTTAAATAATAAATTTTATTTTTGTTCTGTTGGTTATTTAATTTAAGGGGTATGTTTCAGTTTGTTTTATTCAATAGTTCTTATTGAGGGCGATAATCACAATTATTTACTTTGCATTAAGTTTGGCATGTTTATTATTATTTTAGTATAATGATCAATCGGTGCCATTAAATTCACGTATGATACATGAACACTTAATAATTTCAGTAACTCAAAACGAAAATGTTTTCTTTATTAATTATACTAAAAAAGTTTACAATGCGGGGTAGTCAGTATTTTTTACTATCGTACTGATTGCTTTAATTAATACTGAAAACAATTTCTATTTATGACTTCTATTAAAAAAATAAAGATGTCATGCCAGTTAATTATGCAATTGAAAAAAATGTCACATTTATGTATACGGTTAAAATATGTGTAATTGATTAATATATTTATAATATACATTTATATGTTTTATTATTGTAAAATGTTTTGTTTACAACGTGTTACTATTACTATATATTATAATATTTTTTTGTTTTACTTTAAGTTTTATCTATAAAATCTGCAAATCTGTTGTACATATATATATTAAAATAGAATTAAATAGTAATATACACACATACAAATACGATGTACTGTAATATAAATGTACTTATTTATTTATTTATAATGAAGTAGGCAATATTTGTTTTAATTTTAACAAATAATAAAAGACAATTTTCATTCAAATCATTTTTGTACATATTTTTTAAATTCCTTTTTCCATTATATGATATTGACATTTAAGTATTACTTAACCAAAATATCTGGAAGAAAATATTCTGTTGCAATGAGACACTATGATTTGATTTAAATTAATTATGGACTGATGCAGCTGATAACTATGCCAACAGTCTTGTGTGGTTGTTACTTGTCACTTAGATATAAATTATATTTGTGTTTATATTGCTCACAAAGAAATACTATTATTTATTATATATATAAGTTCTTTAATGCGTGGTTTTGATACAGCAGTTCAATACAGATGTTGAAAGCATTTTGAAAGGTTATTGTTAAAGACAAAGCCTTGTTGAATAAATTATTTAAAAAATGAAAAATAGTGTAAAACATACTGAATACGATATTGTTGATTTTAATGGACGTTTATACACCACTGTCATCAACCGAAGTGAAAAATGATTTGAAATTAACATTAGAAGAGTTGTCAGTAATTGATAGTAAAAACTGCCTATTGATTTACAAGGTGCTCAAAGAAATAAATTATTGACTAGTAATTCTTATTCTATAGACAAAAGTTCATAATACATAGCAAATAGTAATTTCGGTTGATAATATTCAATTATTTACCATTTTAACGTAGTCGTTCACTTATAACGTGTGGATATTAATTTACTGAACCACTAATAAAACACATTTTAGTTCGACATCATAGTTTTTTTTTAGCTTACTCTTTAGAAAAAGAATTTGTTAAGTTTTTTTAGACAGTTACTCATTTTACCTAAATACCTGTTAGTGTAATTTGTTTTTGTTTAAATTAGTTCTAATTTTAGAGCTTTTATTTATAAGACATTTTTAATACCTATTCTATATTAATATTTTATGACCCAATTCGGCTGCTTCATTACAGCATCATTGTTTTGTATGTAACATGACTACAATCATTTCGTATTATGCCTAATTGCGTAATTACTGGAGGTGCTTCAACATCCCCCGCCTCTAGTGCCTTCCTTAAATTTTAATATCTATACTCTCTACTAAATATTTTTATTTATAAAAATTTATTATCAGTACTTTTTTTTTTTTTTTATATAATTCTTTTTATTTTGAACTACGTTATATTATACTACTTTTTTTAGCAAATGAAATAAATATTTTAAGTATACTGGGACATTTCTATATAATGCCTCCAATAAACCACAATCATTAGTTTGGTTATACAGTCATATATACACTACTATCATTTATATAGCCATTATACATTATATCAATATACAGCTCTTTATCTTAATGTGGTTGCAGGTTGTGGGATTGGAACACCTCACAGCACTTTCAACATTACACAAATTTAGTACCCTTTGAATTTTTGCTCTAGTTGAAACACTAATACTAGAAACATTACAGCTTTTTACTTAGTCTTCAAGCCTATGAAATGATATTGAGTCTTACTAAATGAAAGAATTTTCTATGTTACTTGGATTTTCTATTAGCATTATCAATATTTTATACACATAGTGTCATCTAAATTTCACACATTCTGCTTTATTCATCTTAATTGATATAAATCAAACGTTGTATTTAGAATGAACATACTGCTCTAGTAAATATCCAAATCATTTGTTGGCTTTGTATCATAATCTCCAAGCAAATGAGTACTCATGTCATTTTATTCAATTGTTAATGATAGCATTCATCTCATTAAGCCAATAATTTATTATTATCATACAAGTTAAAGATTTTAATGTTTTTTGGAATTACGTTAATTAAAACAAATTATTAACCATAGAAATTATTAAATTTAGAAAATATATTTTTATTCATTCTATTTAAATTTGCCATTACATATTATTTTATTATATATAATTATAAATTTTTCATTATATATTATTAATATTACTATTATATTTATGAAAAATAAGAATAAGTCTACAAATTTCTGTTGTTTAGTCCTAAAATACCAACATCGACTGTAATATTTTATTGAAGTATTATACCATACTAGTCATAAACCTGTCATAAAACACGAACCCAACAAAGCGCTGCCAAAAGTTAAGGTTAAATAAACAATTATTCATCAGATCTGACGCGTCCGTGTGCTTATTCACTTTATGTGCACATTATATTTATTTTTGTCGTTTTAAATATAATATGTAGACAAGAAATTTTATAAAATAAATTAACATAATATTATTTTGTGCATTAATGTATTTAATTCATGACCATTACATTAATGAAGGTCAGCTGAGTATAAAAAACTTGGTTTTTTTAAAATGGCTCACGAGTGTTTTGATAAGTATTTAATTTTAGTGCTAGTTTCATAACTTTTCATTAGTTTGTATAATTTTTAGAAAAAAATATGGAAGTTTTGGTTCCTTATTTTGTTTTTGAAAATTTCATATACCTATCAATTAACTAATTAAACTGAAAAAAATTGACTGTACACTGCTTTATTTTTCTTTGGAGAGTACCTAAGTTTTATGACTTAAAATTACACCTAAAGAGTATTTCAACACTATAAATTTCAATTGTGTCTTATCATAGTTTTAATATCAATATTATATTTAAAAATAATGTTTTGGAGATGAATAAATATTTGTAATGTCATTTAGGTTACTTGTTTTCAACGTTTTTTAATAAAATTTTTCAGTCATATATTTTATACTATATATATAATATATATTATATAAAATTGGTAATAAACAGTTTTAACTGTTGTTTCCTTAAATAATTAAATATATACATACTATGACAATAAACTTTTATAATGCTTTAAATGTTTGCATATATTTTATTTATATATCTACATATTCTACAATTAATAGTTTATGCTCGAAGAATTGAAAAAAATCATTTTGATATTAAGCCTATTGTTTATTTTATACAAACTACAATTATAAATCTAGATCTAATATTTTTTAATTAAAAATTAGTTTTAAAAAAATATTATTTTCGACAATTGTAATTTATATATTTAGTTTTATGATTTTAAACTTTGAAGATTAATGAATAAGATTAATTATTTGAAATTTCACTTGGTTGGAATTAAGTTAAAGTATACAATTGGGATATCATTCCTTAAAATTTTGAACTTGCTCTAATTCATATTTTGGTTAAAATATTAATTGCGCTTGAAAACTAAATTATAGTTGTTATTGTAAAAATATATTATTAAAATATAAAAATATATTTTTAATTTTGAAATAGAAAAATGTCGACACCCTGTATTTTACTAGAATGGCACACCGTCGCCCTATTTAATCTGTTTAATTACTTAAGGTCTTGGTACTTAAACTAAGTACTAAGACTTCAAGTACTTCTATACTTGTAAACTCCAATGTTTTAGTTTATTCATTTTAGATTATAGTAAATAGAACTTTGTTAGTGTACTTTTTTTAAGAGTCTGTTTGCGCCTTCAACAATTGTAATTTTCAAAGAGACCACAGTGGTAATGAACGATTTTGATTAGAAACACATGAGAGCTATGCCACAAGGGAATTTTGATGTGGGCTGAAATTCATCGAGTGGATAGGGTAAAGGGATTCAACTCACTGCCACAGTAAAGAAGAAACTTGCGTTTTAGAACCCTTAAAGAAGAAATGTTCGCAAGGAAATGAGAGAAAAGGTCTCACTATCAACTAATACTACCAACACTCTAAAACTACCACACTAAATTGCATATCAGCCAAAATCCTATTCACCCGCCGCTCGCTAGGTCCAGTGGGCGTCGCAAAACTATAAACTTACAAAGCTCTTCACTTTGATCTAAAAACATTGTCCTGCTGTCGCACGGGCGACCCGCGTAAATCCGTCCGTTTTCTTCGACAAATCTTAAACCTCCTCTTTTCTTTTCGACATCCCCCCCTCTATAAATATAGTCGTTGGCCGTGCCACAATGTTCTCTAAGACGACATTTGGAATGGCCGAGTGGATAGGGTTGGGCGCAGTTGTAAGGAAAACGAAGAGCTGGATTACGAACTATCCGAGTGTAGTTTGTGCTGGACGTGCCAAATTTCTGCTGTCGTATCTGATCGGAACCGAAACACAATGTGCTTCACCACTCGTTCTGCCTTCATCGTCGAGACTTAGCTCTTTCTACCTATAAATTGTCTATCGTCGGATCTCGCGGTTAATTTATTTGATTCCTTCCCCTACTTCAGTTGTCTTTTTGTGCCATTCACACCATCTACTATTTCATGCCATCGTCTATATTTGAAAAGATCCAGTGACAATAGCCTCTTTCGAATTTAGTAAGCTGAATAAATCAAAAAAAATCAAATCAAAAAAAATCTTTTTTTACTATTATTTCAATTTAATTGACGTATTTTTATCAGAATGGCTGGATGGTTAAAGTTTAATTGTTAAGAAATAAATTATGACTATCTTGAAATATTTAAATTTGGTTGCTAGTTCTAAATGATTTCATTTCAAGACTATTGTTGCATCTTTTTACTGATTTTCATTTTAATCAGGACACATATTTGCAGAGTAATTAATATACTAAATTAACAATTTTAGTAGTCCTATGAATAGGGTTTTTTTTTTGTATCTCCTAAAAAGTAACAATAATGCATTTAGTTCCCTTTTTCTTGTCAGGTACACATTTAACGTATACAATGATGCATATCAAATTTTTATAAAAAAATATTTGTTTAATTTTGAATTTTTTCTTATTTGATTTTTAATGTAAAACTATATAATAGAGTACCCTTTTATAAATTTATATAATCTTCAACTTTTTCTCTTTAAAATCATTTAATGGAAAATTACTTAAACGTCAACTTTTTTTTTTTTGCTTAAACGATTATAATTGGATATTTCAGTTTTTCACATGGTTTCAGTATATTATGAATCGAAAAAAAAAGTAATTTTTTAGGTTAGTATGAAAATGATACGTCAAC